ATGCCCAAGCAAAAAGAGATGTGGTCTCACTATCACAAAGCAGACTTTGCTTTCTACCTTCTTAATCCCAGACAATAGTTTTTTATCAATGTCTTTGTGATCGGCACTTCATAATAATTGTCCCTCAAAGTCTAAGAGGGGAAATAAGGTTATAACTTAGGATGAGCTAAACTATGATCAAATAAAGACCATAAGAAAAGTGTGAGTGGTCAAAGGGGGTAAGCTCAGCTCTAGATATGGGAGTTAAGAATGGCTTTTATGGAGAAATTAGAACAAAACATTTTGAATAATGGGAAAGATGCTGACAAGCGGCAATGGTGGAAACTGGAGAGAAAAAGAAAAAGAACCAGACAGAAATACAGAAAGTAAGTTAGAGCGTGAGCAAGGCTAGAGCCTAATAGTTGAGTCTTCTGTCACATGAGTTGTGTGGGAACCAGGGGGCAAGGCAGTCAGAAAGGTAAGGTAGGGCTGTGCTCTAGAGACCATGAATGTTACAGTAAGAAATCTGTGCTCACAGGTACCTGCGTGGGAAGTGTTCGACTCTTAGTTTCAGCTCAGGTCATGATCTCACGGTTCATGAGATTGAGCCCCGAGTTGGGCTCAGTGCTGACTGCATGGAACCTGCTTGAGATTCTCTTTCTCCCTCTCACTCTGCCCCTCCTCCCTCAAAATAAAATTTTTTAAAAAAGGAAAGAAATCTGTTCTCAGTTTGTTAGACAAAGGGATGGTGCTGAAGGCTGGGGACTTTGTTGTTACTGTTTATAAACCAACTGAGAGAATTTCACTTCAAGAAGATTATTCTGGTAGCAGATTTATTTAAGTAAAGAAAGACAGGCGAGAACATTGCATTGCTACAGTGGTCCAGAAAGGAAGTGAAGGCTTTAATGGAAGGGAATGGAGGAGAGCTACAGATGCAGAGGGACAATAGAGATAAAGTTTCCAGAGCTTCATAACTGCTCGAGTGGAAAGGACAAATGAGGAAGAGAAAGAAAACATGCCTTCTCACAAAGATAAAACTGAGATTTTACACCAAAGCATCACCCTTCCAAACCTACCTTGATTACAGACTTAGGTATAATTAATTTTTAGACTCTTTATCATCCATGTCTTTATAGCATACAAAAAGTCACTAAAATATTCTACTAAATCATAAGGTTCAAGCCAGTAGAGGATTGACAGAAAATGAAATCTTATAACTTAGAAAAAAAAAAGAGATCTTTAGACTAATATGGTGCTGGTGACTATTTTAAATCTCCAACACTGGGCCATCCTGTTATGCAAGAACTGGTTTGACTGCACAAGAAATACCACTGATGTCAGAACTCAGATGGAAAGCATGGCGTGGCGTCTCACTTACGGTTCAAAGTTCTTCATCTCAATTTTCTTTAAGTTTATTTATTTATTTTGAGAGAGAGAGAGAGAGCAGGAGAGGGGCAGAGACAAAGGGAGGGACAGAGAATCCCAAGCAGGCTCCATGCTGTCTGCACAGAGCCCAACTTGGGGCTCAGTCTGAGGAACCAGGAGATCATGACCTGAGCCAAAGCCAAGAGTTGGATGCTCAACCTACTGGGCCACCCAGGCGTCCCTCTTCATCTCAATTTTTAACTGTATGAACAGCACACTATCCACATTCTGTGTAGGGCCAACTGGTATTTTTCCTCCATTGCATTTGCTAAATACTGAGGGAGGAAGAGGAGGAGGACAAGACGGATGAGAAGAAAAAGGAGGTGGAAGAGGAGGAGGACAGAGAGAGAAAGAAGGAAGAAGAAGGCAGGCTGCCTTAAAATGTAAAATATAGAAACATACTTGGCAGCTAAGACAATGTATTCCTATGTAAAAAAAAAAAAAAAAATAGCATCATCTTATTGCTTTGCTTTTCCTTTGGATTTTATCTTTTAATGACTAGAATATTTCCCAGACGATTTCATCCAAATAAAAATGCTTTTGGTAATGGTTCATTATAGCTTAAAAGTATATTATTAAAAACTAAGAAGTTATACTAAAGCATGAACAACAGAACCAGATACACCTATAATTTCACCACTCAGAGATCATCAGTGTTAATATTTTACTTATATCCTTCTGGACATTTTGTTACATGTGTCTTTTTAAAGTAAGAATTCTCTTTTGTGTCCTTCTTTATATTATGGCCTCGTCCCTCATTTCTTCCTTTCTGTTCTTAAAGGATTCATTCCTAGAATCTGTAGGAGGAGCAGAGCAAAGTTAAGTGTCTGCACTAGGCAAGAAGGGCACACAGACCTGACGTGATCCAGAGCTTCTGAGTCAAAAGGAAGCAGAGGTGCCTGTGTGGGAGGCTGCCAGGGGTGGAGAATCAGAACTTGGAGGGGTGAGGAGCGTGTCAATGCTCAGGGACAGCCTGGCACAGGGTATCAAAGGTAATGAGCGTATGCATACGAAGGAGTGACCAGCACAGAGTCAGGGACCACGCTGGTGGAAAGAAGGTCCCTCGGCAGCTCGAGGTAGACTGTGGGCACCCACAGGAAGTAAAGAGGGTCCCTTCATAGAAGGGCATCAGAGGCCAGGCTGCCAGGGGACACACCATTGTGGGGTCTGGCCTCGCATGTAGTACCTAAGCGCAAGTAGGCTGTGAGGAGGAACAATGTGTGTGGAGGAGGGTTCCTGAGTGTTGAAGCATTACGCTTATCAGTTATGTGAGGAGAGCCAGCATCCCTAGAACAGGAAGTTTTAAATCCAATAATAGTAAAGCTCTCTATTTATCATACATTTTCATAGCCCTCAATATAGCATTATATATTATATATAGTACATAGAATTATATAGTATACTATTCTCTCGTGTTTCTTGTTAATAACTTTTCTCTTAAGTATTTAATATTTTTATTGTTAGTGTGAATAATGCATTTTACACAGTGTAGTCTGTTTCGTTTTGGTATATAGAAAAATCTATCAAGTTTACTACTTATTTATAATAAATAACTGAGATGAACTCTATTAGTTCCTTAGTTCTAAAATTTTAAAATTGATCCTCTTAGGTTATCTTAGGTTATTTATTCAAATTAAAATTGAGCAGTCATTAAATCTTGTTAATATACAGTCACTTAGGTCAATTTGTGGATGGAGGAAAGACAAAATTTAGATGGTCATTAATTAGTAAATTATTTATTTGTTTATCAAATACTTACTGAGCATACACTATAACTAATCCTAGTCAAGTTACCTAATCTAGATAGTTGTGTTTTTCCCAAGTGTAAAATGTAAATAAACAAAGAACCTATCTAGGCATTAAATGAGACAATGCAAGTAAATTGCTTAGCAATGCACAAGGTGACTGCTCAAGAAATGTCAGCAGTGATGACATACACTGTAAGTTACCCTTCCCAATGCCTGCAGAACCACCAGTAGTTGAGACAGTGCTCAAGC